TTAGTATTAAATTTTTCCACGGAAGATCGCGATGGTCGTCGCTACGAAATTAAGGACGCCATCAAACAAAAATTAATAACTAACAATTTAGAGTTAAATTCTTTACGAAAATTATATAGGAATATAGCTTGAAGTTCCAGCTTTGCAAAGAAATTATAAAAGTTCATAAATAAATTACGGAAATTGAGTAATTAATTAATTTTTCTCTGTCGGAGCCCTTTTATCCTTTTCTATCCCCTCTCTGTCCTTGTCTGTCACGTGACGAGCTGGCCGACGACCTCCTTGCCTATTCTATATTCCTATCACTTTTCTGATCATTTGGTCTTAAATCATAGATGGCGCTGACCGAGTGTCGCATGAATTTGCATCAGTTACTGATTTCGTTTATTTATTTCTGATACATGCTATTATTGGACGGTAATTGTATGATGGATTTTCGGCTGGAAATGGCAAATGAATCTGTACCTGGAGAAAATGACGAAATATTGCGGGAGTAACAGAAACAAAGGATACTTAGGATAAGTAATGTAAAAAGGAATGTGTGTGGGTTGTGCATGTCTGACCAACAGAATAAATCAACAGGTTATGTACTGTCAACAGAATGTAGGCCACGTGCTTGAGTGCGGAAAACAAAATTCGAGAAGGAAATTTGAAGTATCAATAGATGAAAGGATGGAGATGGATATCATACTTGAAAATTTGGAGTGGATCTGGTACTGCGATCTCAAGGTTTATATGAGCATATAATGGAAAAATTGAGAAATGTAGAAAAGTATGAACAGGATTGGTTAACAAACAATGTGTAAGTACAAAATCTAATACTTTCATCCATAGGAGAGGCATTATTAATTGCTGTACCAACCTGTACGTCAAGTCATCAGATATGGGTAAAATTAAGCAATATCTATGAGAAGGATGCAAAACAGCAAAGATATTCTGTTACGGAGAAACTTGTCATTCATAAATCTAAATTTGAACATCATATAGTAACCCATATTGTGCAGCTGACAGGTAAGTTTTCAAATTACATGCATTAGGACGTAAGATAGAATAAATAGTACTTGTAACTAAAATCTTAACAACATTGCCACACAGGTATCGTCTATTTGCAAGTACCTGGAAGTTAATGCAGAAGGAAGAGAAGAGAATAGATGATTTCACATCTCAACAGATTCCCAAGGAAACAAGGGAAAAAGCAGATCAAAATGAATCTGTAGCCTTCAAAGTTCAGGAGAAGAGGTATTTCAAGTGGAACTCCACTAGACATCTTGTATGAGCATGTTGGAGAAACAACAAAGGTAATAAAAAATTTGAATGTTTCAGTTTTAAAAGATTACGATAAAAATCAGACAAATTTCTAGGATTAGGAAGAAAAGACAAGACTTAAGAAGTGTACACTCTGCGTGGGATCATCCTAACATTGTTTCTGGCTGGTTTCTTCTTTACAAAAGCCTACAGAATACACTACTGTGTAGCAAATTCGTGTCAGATAAAGAATTTTTTATAAAAATGTAAGAATATGCATGGAAAGTACGCCCGGAGGCTTATTTTTAAACTTTGATGACCAATTATAGTTATTCACATGTACGAATAATTATAATTATGAACGTTGATAAACTCAGGATACTCCATTTTAACTCATAAAACAATAATAAACCTCCTAACGTTCTTACTTTTTATGTAATATTTCATTTTAGCCAAAAATCGTGTATTTTTAGATAAACTCACATTTTTCGAAAACTGAGGATGATATAGAAATTTCGATTATGGGTTCGTATTTAGGAAAGTAAGTACTACAAGGATCGCCCCGTGGTTATTACAGATTAGGGAAAAAATTGAAATTTGTTGCACAGTCTTTATTTCTATAATTTTACCATAGTCTACATGCTCTACACTTCAATATACGAATGTATTGTAAATAAGGAATGTTACAGATAAAGATTTCAAAATCAGTCACACAGTTATAAGACAAAATTTTATTGAAAGATATACAAAATAACAGCAATGAAGACACATTTCTGATTGGATTCTAATATTGTAGAGATCGCTTTGTTTGTATGTCGTCCAATATTGTTCTTAATTCCTCATCTTCTAAACGACCTTCTAAACTAGGAATTAAAGCCTTTGCTTCTTCTGGCGTCTCTGGGCACAAATTTGCGAGCGAAGCAAGTTCAAACTTGTGAAGCTTCTTCTGCATAAGCAAACTAAAACATAAAGATTTTTATGAGTTTCTATGAATATTTTTCACTTAAGAAGGTAATTTATGAGAGCTAACTTTTTATTAGCTAAGTATCTAAACGTAGAACATGAGGTGTGCTTACTTTCTTACAGCAGCAATTGTTTCTTTGTTTTTAAACCGGCGAAATCTATTCGTATAAGTTAAACTCTTCATAAAAACTTCGGAAAATTCTTGTTCCTCCTCAGCTGATTCGTTTTGTACTTTTCTGTGTTCCAATAACATCGATACTTCCGAGATTAACAGAGTTTCTGCGTTTTCAAATTCTAGGGAGAAAAATTATACATAGAATATTTATTAATCAATCAATTTATGAAATTAATGATAATGATAATCTATTCATTTTAAGGTACTTTTTACTATACGTTACTTGTTTTAAATTTGAAACAAGTTTTATTAACTGTTTTATAAAATACATTTTATTATTCATTTAAATGAGATACAAAGTATAAATAAAATATTACATGTGTATTTAAACATATATTTTACATTATTGTACACGCGGATTTATTATGTATTACATTACTTTTTTATACATCATTATGTATACTCACTTTATTATTTTCAGTCGATTTTCTCAATTATTTGAAACTTTTAATTATAGATCTTAATACGTAATATCACAATTTTGGCAGTGCCCATAAAATATAATATACAAAACATTATTTTTCCTATATTAACGAGCTGTGTGTCATTGATTCGGTTTATTTATATACCCTTTTTCCGTAAGAAAATCATATATTTTGCGTGTTTTATTTACATCGATTTTAAGCAAAACCCTAGCTTGTGCTAGTCTAAGACAACCAGTTTTTTTATTTTCTGCTACCAAGATTTGTTTAAAATCAAGATAATTAGTAGGTACTATACGCGTAACTGAACAAAGTTCTTTTTCAGCCAAAGTTAATTTCTCGTATCCTGGAAGACCTTTAATTGCAAGTGGCGGTGCCGTTTTCCGCTGTGACATTGTATTTGATATAGTGTTATTAAAACTGACATTACATCCAGGTAATATAGTTTTCCAACTATACTCAGGATTATTTAAGTACTGTTTCCTTTCTTTTTCATTTTCTTGTCTAAGTTTACTTAATTTTTGAAACATTGGTACACTATGAAAGTGTTTTAAACCGCTATTGCGAAATTCAAATAATTTATTAAGATAATTTTTTAGTTCTCCTGCTCTGTGTAAGCCTTCCATGAAATAGTCAAATTCTATTCCTCCTAATAATTGCATAAAAATTAAGAGTCTTTCTGCAAGTGATCTAGTTATTGTACACTCATATCTTTGTATCCAAGATATAGTTCTCCTAAATGCTATCAGCCCATGATTACGTATGATTTTTCTTCTCCTCATACGTTCTTTCAGTCTGTTATTATATGCCTGTACTATAGCTACTTGTAACTCTTTTCCTAATTTATAATTATCACTGCATTCATCGAATTCACCATAATTTAGATCAGAAATTAATAACTCTGCATGATTATCAAAATTGACTTCGAAATCTGATCTTGCTGGATTATATCCAGCTAAAAGCTTACAATTAAGCGTATTAGGTGCAAACCGTGGAGGTTCTTCTAAATCTTGTAATTTATATAAATAGGGTATAGGTTCACAACCAAACAAATTAACTCTTGTTTCTTCGATTTTTGGCAAGCCTGGTAAAGTCTGATTATCAATATAGTGTTGAAGATAATGACTTTTACATTCTTCTGCTGATTTCTCTTGCATACGTTTAGCCATATCAACCCAATTGCCAAAACCACACTCTTGTAAAACGTCTAAAAACTCTAATTCTTGTTTCGCTGTCCAACCACTTCCATCAATCAAAGGAAATTCATTCTTTATGATAATATAATCATGATCATTTCTGTGGTTGTCACTTTCTGATCCATTGGAGAAACAAGATGGACACAGTTCCATACCACTACACACAGCACAACGAATATACGGTTCTGTCAATACAGATTTGCAAACGCGGCATGTTGGGTCTGAAGTAATGATTTCATCCTTCACGACTGACACGTCGAGTTCTATGTTATGCTCGATCTTTTCTCTTTTACTCGATGAACAGTCTGAAAGAGGATAATCGTTACCTTAGGCCATGCCGTATAATCAATAATTATTTCGGCATATTATGTCGCTACCCGTAATCATTAATGAGAAAAACATTGACAAATGTCATACGATTATAGGTTAGGAACAACCAAATATCGTCTTCCTCTCTTCTTGTTCACGCAAAAAAGAAATCGTACCTTTTGGAAATTGTAAGTCAGCCGCATCTTCCTCTGTCATATCAGTTAAATTCGGGTTAGCCATGTTTTCTTATAATTTTTTACTGTGTTCGATCGAACTTCTTAAATGTTTACTGTTGAACGACCATGCCTGCTGCAATTAACTTGAATAATATCTACTTCGCTTACTAGATGGCACTTGCATAGCGATGCACTTGGTCGGTAATCTTTTAGTTCTTTGCATTGTAGCGCCTCTATTTAAAATATGACTAAGTTACTCAAATTACTCATATCAAGTACACAAAGAATTTAAGTTTCTAGATTTAATACATTTAATGTTTCGTGCAATGTAGTGCAGAAATTTATCGATCAGCCAGTACATCAAATTAGTAATGACATATATCTCAGCATCATTACACAAACGAAGAACATAGGAAGTTAAAAAGTTCATTTTCCAAATACATTAGATATGTTATTTACGAACGTATCGAACCTTGAAAATGACGACAGAATTACGAACATAGCCTGAATATGTAAAATCGTGACGGCCTCAGGTAAAATTGTATGTCTTTCGAATACAGAATCGAACAATTTGACATCGAAATGATTAACATGCGTACTATACCATCATATCAGATAGGTGTGTATAAGTGTAATATACACACACGTAATGTCTTCGGATCGTGCAAACGTAACAAACCACGAAACTGAATATCTTTTTGACTGAAGTAACTCGATACTTATTCCATTGTATTTTTAAAGAACAAGGTTCTCTAGAAAATTCTATTCTATATAATTGTGATTCACGCAACTGAAATTTCACGAAATAAATTATGAATAATCTTATCTTTACCATAAAAGGATAATGTTATCTCGCTGTATTTCTACTAAGTAACTCGTGTTATTTTTTCACGTAAAAGTCGTCACTTTCTTGATTACGCTTTTAATTACTCATTTTATTTCGAATAAGGCAAGTACTTTGTTCTTATACGTGATTACAATTTAGGTTAATACGTCAAGCGTCGAGTTGATCATATAAACGAGGATGATTTTCAAGGAAAGGATAAAGGTACAAGGGAAGTGTTTCAATGATAATGAAATGTTTATTGAAATAAATATAACAACGTTATTCCGAATGTTCTGTAAATTTCGTAAATAAGCTATAGAGTTCTATATCTAGTTCTATAAGCAATATTAAATACATTGTGAAATTATTATCAAAGTTAGGTTAACTAATTTATTTTCTTCTTTTACTTATTTCGTCCACATTTATAAAAAGCTTTTGTTTACATATCTTATCACGTCAGCTTCTTCATGCAATTTTCGTTTATAAATTATAGCTTGTCGAGTAAAATAACAATAAGTGATGAGTAATTCGTCTTTTGCAATTCGAGAAGTATCATTTCGAGAAGCATGCGAAATGAGCGTACTAGTGACTATAGCAAATTACTGTTACATCAGAAAAATACTAAACAAAGGAAGTTAGGTGTGCGAACGAGTTCGCCTACGTTATCTTTTACAAAACAAATGATTCTTGTACACGTAATAGCCAGGCATATTTTGAAAGGCGTTCGTCTGTTGAACTCCCTGTAGGTTCGTTTACAAAAGAATAATAATAAATCGTTCGCGAATAATAATGGAGTCACTATGCAAATATTGGCAATAATCCCTTGCAAACGACGTAAGAAAATTTTCTACAGCTTTGACTTCACCACTTTCTACCTGTAACATTCTAAGTACTTGTAACATTCTAAGTATACAATATTATACTTGTTATATAATATTATACTTCTATTGGATTTAAAGAAAAGAATAAAAATGCATAATGTCACTTATTGTTGTTGCAGAATTCAGTAAAGTATGAAAAGTGACCTATTTGAACAGAAACTAGTTCTTCAGGAAGTGTTGGATGTCAAACACTTGGGATCGTTTTCAATAGCATTTAAAAGCAGACTTTCATGGTAACTCTACTAGACGTTTTTCACACATATAATTCCATTTAATATACCGTTCGAGATGATTAAATAATCATTTATTCAAATGAAGCGACTTGATAAACTGACCGTGTAATTTGAACGTTTTTGTGCCAAAAATAGGTTCTCCTTCTACGTCCAATACTTGATTTGGTATTCAGATAAAAAGATACACGTATATACAAGAAATGACAAGAGAGAAGTCTATTTATCTCCATTTACAGCCATAACTTTTCGGTCGATTTGTATTACGATTATTGAAAAGGCAGTTAACCTTGGCCTTCATCCTTTTCGTAAAATTATTTCACTTGGGACAATAACTCGTTTGCAGCCCTCGTAATAGGCTAAAAAAATTCATATGGTACGCTAGGCGTGGAAACCGGTTCCATTAAAATTTTTACGAGTCAACCCGCCAGGGTTGAATCAGAAAAGTTATCTCTTTGTAACGTATAACGATCCTTTTCTTTCCGTAGGATTCTATCCGACGCTCCAGTGGCTAGAAAATTTTCCTTTTATCAATGAATAATGGGAGTCGGTCCTAATACCGTAACACTTTGCGAGTTCCATTACGTTAACGTTATACCATCCGAACGCGTGTCTTTATGCTCGAATATGATTATACATAATTCAAGCTTCTGGAAAAATGCAGATCTATAAAAGTAGTCACAACCATTACCGATCACTTCCACGCGCCTCGCAGAGATTATGCAAAGGTACGGGCGTGGTCATCGTTTCCCTGAATTTCTAATAGGCAATCACGGGCTGATTTAGCGGATGTCTCATCAAGTGTATACGTTAATAATACCACGTGCGTCGGAACCAGTTTGTCGTTTCGTGCACGTGGCTGGCAATTAACCTTTTGCAAGAAAAAGAAGCGAATACGAAAAGTCGTGGAAAAGTTCCCCTGCAGATGAGATTGATCGACGTGGTACCCAGCAGGATGCATGCTTGAGAATGGGAATCATTCCTTCGATCATTCTTATCCCAACTGTCAGGTAAATGTTAATCATAGACTTCTGTATCGCGCTCGATTATTCTCCAAACAGCGAGAAGTTTGACAAACGTGAATTTGCACTTGAATGACTTACAGGTCGTATGAAAATCCCTATACGGTGATATACACGTCACGTGATGGAGCCAAAGGAACATCGCCATGAATGACACCATGTATGGGACGCGAGGATAATTTGAGACGACTGTTCTACCAGAGACAAGGAACAAAAAGTTCTTTGAAAACGCGAAGAAGTATCGTTGCACGAGGATCGAATATGTATTGAGAATTCTCGAGGGACTGGATCAAATACGCATCAGAGAGTTCCTCATCGCAACGTCGTAGTGTGATTTTCGTATTCGCGACTCGGATGGTCTTGGAAGACGATGAATCCTGAACAGCCGGACTTCTCGAATGCGAGAACGCTGCATTTCCGTACTCATGGCGACGATGGCGATAACGTTAAGGACGAGGGCGATCGATTGGACCGAGGGAATATCTTTGACAACGTTTATAAGTTGACCACTGTAAATAGGTATGTCTGTTTTATTCGCTGACGGCAAAGATACCGCGAGAATAATAAAGAGGGATTATAAAAGAATGAAAGAAAATATGGAGAATAGGTGCAACGATTTTAAATTAACTAGAGAATTCAATTCCTCGATTAAAATTTTTCTCTATGTAATAAATCAGCGTCGAGGAGTATGCTTGTTGTTTCTATTCTTTCGTTCAGTTTCATAAGAGATAGTATCGAAAATGACTCGATTAAACTTTCTAGAATAGTTAGATTAGATGATATGTTGAAAAACAATGTTGAGAGAATATTTTTTATATGTTTCCACATATAGTTAACCTAAATTCTTATATAAAGGTATTGAACGATTTTTCATATAATAAAATCGTATTAAGTTCTTGATGACAAAGAACTGTACTATTAGGGCGAAGATATGGTAGAGAAAAATATTTGAATATTTTTCAACTCTATTAGTATAAATTGTGAATACCATATTTGGTATATAACCACGAGAATATATAAAATCAATGAGAAACAAAGGACGAATAACATTGACGAGTAAATTCGTCACGTTCACTCCAGAGAGGCTTCGAAGAAGCAAAGTAACGTGTATTTCCTGTTTAATAAGTCAATAGAAACTTCGTTTCATTACCTTTTATTGGTCGTTATTTTATCTTCATAAATTCCACTTTAATGCTTCTTCCGTTTTATAAGCATCGTTATGAAAAACTTGTCGACTTGACATACAAGAACTTTCGTGAAAAAAGAATTATTTCCGCGAGAAAAAAGCGTGGTAATTTTATTTCAGAACACTCATCGTCGATTTAATAATATGTATCTCGAGACTAATGTGGAGTCGCTTGGCGTTTCTATTTTGAACCATGTATATAGAAGCGAATGATACTTTCATAGATAAATGAAACGCCAGACAACTGTGATCAACGGTGAAAAATATGTTATTGTTTGCAGAACTTCCGGTTATTTTTACATCGTCCTGACACGAGATATGAAACAGGAGCATTTGCTTCTGGCGAAGCTATTGGAATAATAAGGATTTCTATTTTCTCTATTTTTCATAAAAAAAGAAGAAAAAGGAAGTGGATAAAATGGTCCATTATTAAACAACGATATTTAAATTAAGCATAGAAAATTATAAAAACCATCTAAAAAGCATCTTATCAAGATACAATCTTTCTTCTCAAGATACAATCATTAGTCGCAATCTTATCACACATTTTATCTCTTTGCGGCACAGGATTTCAAACAAAATTGGTATATTTTTACTAATAAAGGAATCGCTTAATGTAAAAACATAAAACCAGGAAAAAAAGATTGTCGCAATAAACCTTCCGCTTGCAACAATTGATGAACCTGTATTGGCATGTTGAATGCTGACAACACAAGCGAATACATTTATAACATTTGTCGAAGGTATTACCAACTGCTTTACGTAAATGAGACGAAATATAAAACTATGCGCATACAGCTATTGCAATATTTCGAGGTGAGACTGAAAATGTCCCAGCATGCATTACGGTGCATCAAAAAGCTGGGATACTTTTAATCCCAGCATATAGCAAAGAGTTAAGCGAACTGCAATATATAAACCCAACAAATTGAATTCCTAGCTAGTCGTTTATCTAGCAATGGGATATGTCC